GATCATATAGCGAGTAGATTCAAAAGCAAGGATTCAAACGTGAATCTGTCAGACTCCAAGCCCGCTTCTTTCCATGACATCATCTTCCTCTACTGTAGCAGACTTCTGGGCTGGTTAATATTTAGAAACATATTTGGACCTTTCCATCTAGGCTCGCCCAACGTGGGCAATACTGTGTCCTCTGCCAGGTTTGTTCTTAGTTTTCCAAGGCCTTCAGAAGCCCCATCCCAGAGCCTTCCAGGCAGTCCTGTTCAACCAGATACCTCCAAAGAGTAAAAATAACAATAGCTAGCTGTGTGGTATCTCTATGTACCCTGCTGGGTGCTGAGCATTTTAAATGGATTGTCCCATTGCTGTCTCACAACAATGCTATGAGGTAGAAACCATTATGTTATTGCCGCATCATTTTGCAGATGACAAAACTGACTACTGTAAAGATCATGTAGTAAGTTAAAGCAGCTAGTGAGTGTTGGAGAAAGGATTTGTCTTGACAACAGTGTATGGTGTCTTCTTTGCTCTTAACACACGTTAGTCCCTACTGGTAATGAACCTGACACCTTGGCATTCCAAATCTCTCAGAGCCACGATCACTTTCACAACCACTTGGGTCCTTTTGCCTGGTTTTGTTGGTAAACTAATAATAAACTGTTTTTGATAAATTAATTCCTGCTCTGGCAGTAGGTATTGACCAAGCATACCCTGTTTGTTTTTGATCTGGGAACTGGTACTCTGGGAAATAGCTTTGTACCTAAAGAGGATTCTCCAGGAGAGCTGATGCTTTAATACAATGTACTGAGTAATGGTGGTGCATGCTTCCTGGCTCCCAATGGTCCATCTATTTTGGGCCCCATAGGCCTTCTCCACTGAAGCATCATATTGATGAACATGGAAATCTTTTAAAATCAACCTAGGTTGAGTTTAAACTGTGATCTATTAGGGCTCAACGATTATTTTAGTGCCTGTTCTTTTTTATTAATGCTTTTTTAAAAAGACGTTTACTTATATATTTATTTTAATAATCTCTATACCCAACATGGGGCTTTAATTCTCAACCGAGAGTTGAGTCAGATGCTCTACTGACTGAGCCAGGCACCCTTAAATGTTTATTTATTTTGACAAGGGGAGGGGTGGAGAGAGAGGGAAAGAGAGGATCCCAAGCAAGCTCCATGTGGCCAACGCAGAGCTCAGTGAGGGGCTGGGTCCAACAAACTGTGAGATCATGACCTGGGCTGAAATTAAGAGTCAGAAGCTCTACCAACCAAGCCACCCAGGTGCCCCTAGTGCCTGCTCTTCTAAAGGGAGTTGGATAATGGTTTTTTTAAAGAGATAAAAAGAGCATCCCTGCTTCTTACCTTTGAAGACCAGCTTGTGTTTTAAACTTTACATCAGAGGGGCGCCTGGGTGGCTTAGTCGGTTAAGTGTCCGACTTTGACTTTCGCTTTGGTCATGATCTCAAGGTTCGTGGGTTCGAGCCCCGCGTCGGGCTCTGTGCTGACTGCCAGCTCAGAGCCTGGAGCCTATTTCGGAGTCTGTGTCTCCCTCTCTCTCTGACCCTCCCCTGCTCACGCTGTCTCTCTCTCTCTTTCCTAGAAATAAATAAAACATTTAAAATAAATAAATAAATAAATAAACTTTACATCAGAGGGGAAAGGTGGGGGGAGGGAGGGAGGCGGGGCACCTGGGTGGCTCATTTGGTGGAGCATCCAGCTTCGGCTAAAGTCATGATCTCATAAGTTCATGAGTTCAAGCCCCACATCAGACTTGCTGTTGTCAATGCAGAGCCTGCTTTGGATCCTCTGTCCCCTTCTCTCTATGCTCCTCCGCTACTCATGCTTTCTCAAAAGTAAATAAAGATATTTTTAAAAAATACTTTGAAGTTTACATCAGTGATATGGATCCAGACATCAGAAGTCCATGGAGCCCTGTCTGGCCTGAAAAGTACCTAACAACCAAGTCAGAGTTCTCCTAGAGGATGAATTATTACAAGGCTCTCCTGAGGGTTCTATATAACCTAGCAATATTCATTTCTTCTGAATCTGTATTTTGCATGCAGGCTCTACATTAGCTTCTTGGGTATTTTTTTTTTTTTACCACTGGCCAACCTATATAAAGATTGTGTAAAATCTGCACGGTAATTTTAAGTTCTTACAAAGATCAACAGAGTATTCTATATACCAATATATGCAATTAGACATTTACTAAATATTTTCAGAGATGATTTTGATGAGTTCCTGAATTTGAGCCAGACTCCAGTGAATGTATCTTGTAATGCCCTTTGCCTTCTTTTAGCCTAGAGTTTATCTGCTTCCATACGACATGAAAATAGCTTGGCCTGAGTAATCTATGTGGCAGGTATTCACTTAGGACTAGTAAGTGCTTTTCATTGTTGCAAATATGAGAAGGCTATAACATTATGCCTATCTTTAAAAGACTTACAACCTATTTAGAAACAATTTTAGAATGGACTAGACAGTATATCACATGATATCAAATTACTTATAATACAGACGCCACCTTGGCCCAGTCTTTTTCCCCTCCATTATAAATGACAATTAAAAAGAAATAAGACATGCTTATTAAATATCTGGAAGACATAAAGCTGGGAGTGAGAAATAAAAGGCTAATATATTGAATGTCAGAGATATAGTGGTGACAGTAAATAAAAATTCTGTGTTGAAACCAATAGGTTGAAATTAGTAGGAATGAACAGCAAATCTTGCACTTAGTTTCAAAAATTCAGTTGCTCAAGTACAAGATGAGAGCAGACTGTAATTTTCACACTCAAAACAATAAATCCTGCAGACTTTCTCATTAGCCCAAATCTTCACTTGGTATCCTAAAAGGCGTGTTGGGCACCAGGCACCAGATGGGCACCATGAGATCTTATCATCTGCTGTACCTGCAAATGCAAGCTCATTAGCCTTTGACATGCAGCTCAAAAGAGAAAATATTCCCATTGACTAGACCCTATCAGGAGTAGACACAACACTCTAAGAAGGTCATCTTTGATAAAATGGCCTCTAGAAGAAGGAGACTAGATTAGTGAGTGACCGGGAAACCAAACTTTATAGAAATACTGAGGGACCACAGGATGTTTAGTCTAGAGAAGAAAAGATTATGGGACTTTGATGGTTGTTTTCCAGCATTTAGAAAGTCTATTGTGTGACTACGAGAGGGAGCCTTTAGACTTTTTTTTTTTTTTTTTTTGGTTATTTCAGTTCAACCAATGGGGTGAAAGTTCAAAAGGAACAGATTCATTTTGATCTCTTCAGAAGCTTTCCTGCAACTTTGGGAAAGGCTACTTCTTAAGGCATCTCACCTCCCATGAGCATTCCAGCAGAAACTAGCTGACCATCTGCCATGTAGACTGCTCCCTTCTGGAAAGCCTACATTGTGCCGGCAATTGGCATAAATTGGATCACTCTGATGAAAATTCTTGCCAAATTAGGTGGGAAGTAACATAATTTCTCATATACCTCCCTTAAACCTGCAAATCCACAAGAATTGTGCTAGCCTACAACTAATCCGTTTGTTTCCCCATCTTCCCCATCTTTGCTGGCAGAAACAACCTTGGCCTAGTTAACAGAATGTCATAGAATATATACTCTCAGCAAGAAAAACACTGCTGTCCCACTTGGGGGTAACAGGGGTATGAAAACTTGGACCATGTCTCACCAGAACAGACAAGAAAGGGGAGAGCTTACCTCAAAGTGAGGCAAATGGTGAGAGGAAGTTCATAGAGCAGAGCCTAGGAGATGGAGCCACATATAAGGCAGTTGGCAGTTCAAGGAGGAAGACTAACGGCTCTCTGAGCTGTGTGAAGCCAGGTGAAGGGAGGTACCTTCCTCTCAGCTCCCTGGAGCTGCCCTACTATTTACTATGGCTGTATCTCTTAAGCTTCACAGCCAAAGCCAACGTCTTTTGGACACTTGCTATGGTTGTGTAGGTGTGCCCAGATCATTTAGTTATTAATTAATCATTAATTAATTTAATGATTAATAAATTTAATTATTTATTAATAATAAATAATAAAAATCAGTTGTAGGACTGTATAGTTATAGAGACTTTATAGGACTTAACATGGTTACTAATAGTGATACTGTTATTCAGTGAGCAGGAACAATAAGTAACATTTACACTACTCTCGGTAGCTTTGCCAAGTAAAAGAACCATTATAATAAAGAGCAAAATGTGATATAATTAATTTATCTACAAAAGTATAATGAGAAGCATCATTAATATTCCTCAGGAAGGTAGCTGCCTTCTACTAATCCAGTAACAAAAGGTACCCTGAATAACTAGTGATGATAATGATGATAACAGGGAAAAAAAGCAATTCCCTTTTTCCAACTCATTTAAGGGCCCACCCACTACTGTGTTTAGATACCCAGCACACCACGCCTAAAGGTTAAGGTTGTTTCTGTATCACATATTCAATGAAACCATTTCAGGATACTTGTTCTTTTCACTTGTACAAAGAGCAACACGTCAAGGTTGAGTTTGTTTGGTGAACCCGTGTCTGCTTTAATCCAAGTGCGTAAACCATTTTAACGTGAGATGAATGGTAAGTCACCTGAGAAGTGATACTAACACTCTAGATATATGAATTCAGTTAACACTCAAAAGAATCCTGTGCGATAGGTACTATTATTCCACTTTAACAGAGGAGGAAACTGAAACACAAAAGTTTTAAGAACTTGCCCAAGATCACACAGCTAAGAATTGGTATAGGAGGGATTTCAACTCAGACAGCCTGGGTGGTCCCAAAGGCTAAGTACTTACCCAGTAGGCAGTACTGCCTCCTCAGTAGTGGTATGTAGTGAAAATTAATCAATTGTCTAGTGTATACCAGGCACTGTGTTAATCTCTTTATACACATTAGCATATTAAGTTCACCAGGTCAGCTGTCCTGTGTCTTTGGCATAATACCCTAGCTTGGTCACTGTTAAGTCTGCAGGATGTTAGCAATAAGAAGTTACTGTATTATCTCTTTCTTGTAGGGGTGGAATGGTCCAAACTAGTGAGCAGTATGAATTTGTACATCATGCTCTGTGCCTGTATGAGAGCAGACTTTCAGCAGAAACTGTCCAGTGATTCTCTGAAGATTTACCAGACCATCAATCTCCAGGGGTAATTAATCAATTACCCACCTGAGGCTTCTGGAAGGAGCTTCCTGCAATGGAAAGAAAAGAGAAGCCCTGAAGCCAAGCTGTGGCACGGATTGTGGAAGGTGGCAACACAATTAAAGATTGCCAGCCCCTTGTGTATATGAATGCGTTTGTAAGCATCCCCTAAGTTATTTTGAAGGTCCTATGCTGATGGAGGTATGATAGATTTCTCACACAGCTAAGGAGGCTTTTGCCTTGTCTGTATTGACTACCTGCCACACAGAATGTACGGATGAAATACTCGGTGACCTATGTCATCAGATGACACCTGGAGAAGCTGCTGAAGAAATTATTATTGTGTGTTTAGATGCTTTAATGTTTGCAAAATCTGTCTTGTGAATGGACTGTCAGCTGTTAAACTGTTCCTGTTTTAAGTGCTATTACCTTTCTCAGTTACCAGAATCTTACCGTTAAGGTCACAAGTGATTGATAATGGATTTTTAACAAATAAGTCCTTGTTTTTGAAAAAGAAAATCAAAAGCAGTACTATTTTATATGGAAATGTGTCTTGATAATATTACCTATTAAATGTGTATTTATCAGTACCTCCTGTCAATCAACTACAGAGCACAATGATTGTCACTGGGTGTATACGTATTTACTCTCTATTACTGGACATTGAGGTGGTTTCTGCTCCAGAACTCCAGCCACTGTATTTCTACATTGTGAGTCATTTTACTTTAAAACGGAAAAACAAATTTGTAGCAACTATGATGTATCAAGAATTTTAAATATCTATGTCTCTTTTACTAAGAAGGAATTTTTGAATATTCTATTTACCTAGAATCTCTCTCCGTCCCAAAAAGGCAGATTCCTCTGGGAATGAAGTAACCTGTCCCATTTCCAGATGTTCTCCAAAAGGTTGCTGCCATGGATATTCTTAAATTTCTGAAAAGGTTTTAATCCTCAAGAGACAAATAAAGTTAAGATGCACTCAGCAAACACTAGATGTTCTGTTCAAATATGAATTTTCAGTGCAGCTATGTGGACTTTGTTTCATACTGCCAATAAACGACTCTTAATACTAAGTTATTGAGTAAAGCATCTACTTTTTTTCCTCTTGGGAAGAAGCTGTTATCCTTTGGGGGAAGCCTGGAGTCAGTAATGAGATGGGTTTAATTTTAGTCTCTGCCTCTCCCCAGTGGAGATAACTATCTCTAAATGCAATATTGTCATCACTTGAGGGATAATGATCTAGAAGTGCCATCATTATGTGGTTTTCCTCAATAGACTCCCAGCATGTCATTATACAAACAGTACATGTTTATGTCTTTATATCACTTGTCATAGACCCTCATAAATTACACGGCTTGTGTTTATTCAGCAGAATCAATATCACCTGAAGAAATGTAATGTGTTAGGAACATTCAATTACCTAAGATTATAATTCCTTTCTTCCCTCATGAGGTTAAGAAGTAGTCATGTGCCAAAGAGATGTTGGAGAAAACTTACAAGTTTTCTTCTGCTCCTGGAGGTCAGAATTTTTTCGACATAAAAAAGGAGAGGTAATCATAATCCCTTCTTTCTAAGGAAACAGACAAAAGGACACTGGTGTAAAACTTCCCCAAACAATTCAATAGGAGGAAGTGCTCGTCACTGACTTTTTCCCCCCACCATGAAGGCACATTTCCTTCCTAGCCTTTGCTTCTCTTATCTGGGAGATTCCCCCCCCCCTCCCCAAGCAAAGCATGAACAGTTGTTAAGTGGAAAATGGAGGCTGAATTTTACATGGCGATTCTGACCTGCTTCATCTTTGGGAATTCAGGTGAGTAGGCTTGCCTCCCTTGCGGCATTTCTCCACCAGCCCTCGGAGGAGTCTCTGTCCTTTGAAAAGTGTCTGAAATAAGGCAGAAATGGAGCCAGGTCTCCATGGCAGTTTAACCAAAGACGATGAGGAGGGGGACTAAAAGGAGCCAGCTCTGTCCACACTGTTGAGACTTCTCTCTGAAAGGAAATAAATGGCCTCCTCATGTCTTCCTAATGCTCCGGGTAGGTCCTGAAGTGGCATCTTTATAGCAGAGGGTGAAGCATCTTGAGGAGAAACTGATTATTATGTGGCAGTCTGTGGCATTCTCCATGTTTTTTCCTCATCAGGTTATAGTTTTGTTTTTTGTGTATGCTAAAGAAGGAAAACATAAGGAGATATAATGAAAGGAGGTGGAGAACCAAAGTGTATTTTATTTGGAAGTTGCTATTTGGAAGGAGTGTCTGAATATTTTCACGAGAGAGCAGAACAAATCAAGTAAAAGCTCAGAAAATGGTTTCTGAACCTGAGTATTTCATTTTTTAATACTGATGTTTAACAATTGGATGCTTAATTTTTTTATGTCAAGAAAAGCTGATGTTTTTTTTGTCTATCAGTTATTGAGGGAAACTTGTAGATATTGTCACAATATGGAGAAATGCTTCTCTCCAGGACTTTAAGAAATTGTATATGTGATCATCAATACTTTCATTGGTCGCTATTAGCTGAGAAGGTTTAAAGGGGTGGGAAATTTTGTTTTATTTTTGTTTTGTTTTGGGATGAATCTATTTTTAAACATGTATCCAAGCTATGTAATTTGTATACAAATACTGCAGTGGTAACTTAAGAATTGGAAAAAGGGGTACTTTTTCAGAGTGGGGGATGGTGATGAGAGGGAAAGAGTATAATGGTTAAAAGGGGAATGGGTTTTTTTTTTTATAACTTCAGTATATTTAACTAATTGGGCTAAAATATCACAACATAGTCTTTAAATGGTTTTGTGTCTCTTTCAAGCTTCCTTTCATTTTTTCAGTGGGAGTGTGTTTTCTTCCCTAAATCATGTGAAAGTAAAAGCAAGGGAATGAAGTATGACATTTTAACATTTTGACAATGTCAGCCTTGGGATTTTAAATCACATATGTTGAATCTGGGACTATTCACTTGAAATGATAGCAATAGCAAAAGATAAGCAAACGTTGTATTTTCACTTGACTGATTTGCGGGTGGGCTGTTTTGTTTTCTGACGGCCTTATAATTTTCTACATAGTACTTTATGAGTATCTCATCTTCCAGACGGGTTTCAGATTGTCCATGTCCATAAACAAGAGTGCCTTTCCAAAAATAAGAGAGTGGTGGTGGGTTTGTGCAATGGGACCAGCCAGAACCAGCAGTGGATGTGGACTGAGGATGGAAAACTCCTGCATGTTAAATCTGCTCTCTGCCTGGGCATCTCCAGTTCTCGTGGCCCTTCTCTCCCAGCTGTCTCTACCCACTGCTCCCAGGCTCCTCGATGGACTTGCCATGAGCAGGAAGGGTTCCTTGAGGTGGAAAATACCTCTCTCTTTCTCAAGAAACAAGGCGTCAAGGTAGTGGTCAAGAAGGACAGGAAATACCTCCATAGCTGGATGAAAATAGATGTCAACAAGGAGGGAAAGCCAGTGAATGGAAGCCTCTGCTTAAAAAAAGGTGAGCAATTCTTTCCAGAATTGGTTCTGAAAGTTCTTCTGCTCAGTGTTATGTTTGTTTCATGTTAAAGGGATATCTACTTACCTCAACGCAATGCCTATTTATGGCAGATTCATAAGCTAATAGAAATGGATCTTGTGGTTCCGACTGATGTGGAAAACTTCATTATCCTTGTTAAATAAGCCCTCCTCATTAAATAAGCCCAACGTCTTTCTTTCTACCTCTTACTTCCCCTTCTCTTCTTTCCTTGCTTCTTTTACTAATTAAGCAAATATTTATTGAGTTTCTCTTTTATACCACACTGTAGACACTTTGGTTAAGTACCATTAGATATAGGAATATAAGTCTACGCATTAACGCAGTGTACGTATGTAATGACTAAGGCCAATGATCAGAAAATTAATAATTTTGCTGCTGTAGATAATTCTCTGAGTAGGAGGAACTAGTAGAACATCAAAATGGTGTTTGAGAAGACTGGAAAGACTGGAAAATACATGGTGCCTTTGCAAATTTCTTGCACTAATGTTTAGGGGTACAAGAGGTAACATACTTCTGAAATGGTAGGAGCCAGTGCATGCTCACAGTTTTCTAACTTGTTGACCATTGGTGGATATAACCTAGATGACAGATCTACGTGCACAGATCCCTGGTACAGCACACAGTTCAGTCCTGTGCTGGGGACTTTATTGTGGATGCAGCTTAATTTTCTATTTTACTTAATCATTTTTATTGTTTATTTACTCCCATAGTAGAAATTTGCTTTAGGAATTCATGATAGATAAAACTAATAGAATCATTAGATATTAGGTACAAATGGACCTTACAAATCATTGGAGAAACTCTCTAGAAAAGAAGCCCATCATTGAGGAGACTGAAATTTATCAAGGTTGACAGAATTTTCCCAGATTAATTGGTGGCAGAGTGCTGATTATAACCTAAATTTCTTAATTCCTTGTCCAGTGTACATTCCATTATACAGTGTTTCTCAAATGCTTAGCCACAGAATTTTGCCCAGTTGACTACATAAGAAGCACCTGGGAAAGGAGAAGGAATCTCTGCTCTCATTTCTTCTCTCCTACCACCTTCAACATTCAGTTTCAAGAAACTTGGACTAAAACCTGATGTTTTTTAAGTCCCCCAGATAATTTTGATCCATAACCCCATTTGGGGATCAGCATTCACTGTACTTTTAAATCTTTTTATTAGGTATTTATTTTTGAGGCTCCTATGAGTTTTTTTCACTATGCTGATCCTTGGATAGCTTTCTGTCACTCATTCATTTCATAAATTAAGTAAGTATTTAATTAGATGCTAATTGAATGCAATGGGGTCTTCTACAATAGAAGTTGGATGTTACACTCTTGGTCTTTTTTTATTGTTAATTTTTAAAAAATGTTTATTTACTTATTTTTGAGAGAGAGAGCGAGGGAGAAAGAATACATACACACAAGCAAGGGAGGGGCAGAAAGAAAGGGAGAGAGAGAATCACAAGCAGGTTGGGCCATCAGTATAGAGCCAAACATGGGGCTCAAATTCACAAACAGTGAGATCATGACCTGAGCCAAAACCAAGCATTGGATGCTTAATCAACTGAGCCACCCAGATGCTCTAACAGTCCCGGTCTTATAAACACATCTCACTATGAGAATAAGAGAAACATATAAAAGTCAGCTAGAAAATTCAAATTTATTGGAGAATATATAGCACATAACACCAGTCTGTACAATTCCTGTCATTGAGCAAGTTCATTGAGCAAGGCCGGTCCTAAACAACACAGAAGCATTATAAATATTCCCGTTGTACCATTAAACACAAGAGGTGGGATTCTTTCCCAGCCTCCAATCAAACCTTACTTAGCAGCATGCTCTTTCACTGGAACGTTTAAAAAGTAAATATGGATTCAGTGGAGAGTTGTTCAAGATAGAGTATACTTAATGGGAAAATGATTTCTTTTGACCTTCATGCAAAACATGTCCAATGATGGACTTCACTTCAAAAGTAACTGGATGAAATAGACCATTTACAGTTAATCTCTGAATGTGCCATAACCAAACATGCCCAACAATGTGGGTTGGAAGAAAAATGGGCTTCTAGAAAAAAGCAGAGTAAAAATTTGCACAATTGTGGTACCCCAAAAAAAAATCTTATATCTGAATACACATGGATAATTCATACTTATATTTGAACACAATTATAAGCTAATGTATTTTTCTGTTCCATCTCAAACTGATCATTGATTTAAGATACAGAATGATACTAGTTGACCCATAGTATGAAAGTTCATTGATTTGCTAGAGAATCCGTTGTGAAAAATTAAATTACATTTAGATGTTTGCAATGAATGACTCTAAATGTCCTCTTTTAAAGAGTTGATAACTAAATATGATAATCTGAGAGCACAATTATGCATATTGTTCATTCATACGATATGAGGGTTTTTTTAATTAAGTTCTTCAGTAAAAGATAGCATATCTGTGAAGGTCAAAAATCTGAACTGTTTGTTTCATAAAGGAAACATTCATGATATCATTCACATACTTAAAGTAATATTTCCCTAATACCTACTATGTGCCAGAGCTTGTGTTATAGGCATCCTAC